CTTTCATTATGCTAGGGACGTACACTCTTACAATACCAGGTATGAATCTAAAAATAATTTATATAAGCCGCGCGTTTAGAACAACCCATAGGTAAACATGCTATCCCTTTATGGCAATTGATTACTGGCAAACCAACTTCCAGACTCTTTAAAAAAACTTAATACTTTCTCCTTCTCTATAAAAATTAAACATTATCTACTGACAGAACAGTATAAGTAAATGACTACTGTAATCTTATTATATGACCCTTACTTCTATGTATTCTTGTTTGTTCTCCTTGTTGGTTTTCTCTTCTCTGTTTTTTTTTTTGTTTGTTTTTGTTTTTTGTTTGTTTTTTTCTTTTTAGTAATGTATAGAACAGCTACATAATCGTATTTAACATAAAACAGGCTAGAGGTTAACTAGAAAACCCTCCAGTTCATTTAAACCTCTAGGCATTTACTATAATTAGCCTAATTACTCAAATACTATTACGAACTACTATTAAAATAATATATCCAAAAAATGTAACCTAATTTTTATAAATGCAAAATAAAAATTGGATGTTGTTGTCTCTCCTCCGCAGAGGCCTCAATGGGGTTTTAGGAGAAATCCACTGAACGTGGTGTTTGCAGGCGCAAGTAACTGGCGGATCTCTCGGGTTTCTCGCGCCTGCACTCACTTCGTCAGCGGAAGATCACATGTTTCTTAGTTTCGACTTGAGAGAACTCCCGTTAATTTTTTTTTCCGAGTAGCTTGTGTCACTGACTGGTTCAGTTGCAATTTCTCATATTTTTCTTTCACAAAGAAAAGTCATTGGATTTGATAAAACCGTCGATCTTCAGGAATTTTTGTTGGCTGAAAACTAAGTGGTGAAAGCTAGCCTTTAGCCCATTTCGGAGCCTATTCATAGTCTAGTGATCAGGAACAGCAAGGCCACATCGTACCAGTTTGAAATTGATTATTCTGAAACCCTCCGATGTGGTGTTTTAATTGTTTTATCGCTTTTGTAGATAACGTAAATATTACATCTCGAGGTTTGTAGCTAAAAATCTCCCCCTTTTTCAGTTCCATCGGCCACAAGTTTTATGAAAAAAAACAATGTGATAAAACGAGGATGATTCATGAGAGATGATACGAGTTCAAACTTCACTCTCGTTTTGGCCTAAACACTCATGCGCTCTCATCGACTCTCATGCGCTCTCATCGAATTTGAACCTGCTCAAATTTTTTCTTGGACAATCGTCGAGAGTTTTCTCTCGTTTGGCCAACGCTTCATGATAGTCGATGATCGAGAGTTGACGAAAACTCTCATGAGAGCCAACTCTCATCCTTCGTTTGGCCCGGGCTTGATCACTTTCTCGCAATTCTACGGTTTGTTGGTTCATAAACGACGCGGAATGTCGGAAAAAAAAACAATAGTTACAGAAAAAGGTCTCAAAGAATGACAAGAATTGAAGTGGAGAAAAACACTTGTTTCGTCCTTCCGCGGGAAGTCTCCGTTACCGCGCGCTCTGAGTGGACTGCAGAGCTTCGATGATTTTTTTCAGCAAAATAAAACCACTTGGAAATAGAACACAACGTACTGTATTGAGCGTGCGTGATTCTCGCGGTTACTGCTCACACCATTGGTAGGCTATATATGTTCTAGCCTGGCAGAATACACCCGCGATGGAGCTGTATTCGCAGGTCACTTGTACAATTGTAGCGCCGCGATAAACTTCACGATCGGTTCCGCGTGTTCTTTTCAACATAATCAGTTATTTGGTAAGCCTGTGAGCGCCGGAAAATACGTCTGCGCTCGCAGGCTATTATTTTGGTTAACAATAAAAGCTATTTTTTTTTGGATATATCAAATTCCAGATCCACGCATTATAATTTTTATGTACATAGTCAGTGTTCTCGATATTCAAGCCGCTATAAAGGGACTCATGCGATCAATACTGGTATTCCAGCTTATCACGTATCACACTCTTTCAATATAGATGTTTATAAATAAAGGATTAGATTATCCGTGACCACATCCGAGAAATCCGCGCTTGCTGACAGGAATATGTTACACTGAATATTTTTGACCAGATGAAGCAATCTCGAGGATTTAGGTTCAAATCGCTGCATTAATCTGTAAGAGATGTGATATTTTACGATAGAGCGAAGTATATCGTCGTTATAGTCTGTGTAGCTAAAAAAATTGCAATAATAACCCCAATATTATAATGAGTTAATTAAATATTGAAACGCGCCCGGTAAATTTTTATGATGCTTAGCTTTTCCGTTCAATTCGCGATCTAAAGTGAAATTATGTTGAGCAATAATTTCTTCAAAGAAAACGAAGATAAAACTGAAACCGAAAAGTTGTACTCACCGTTTATATCTTGCTGAATGACTGACTCTTTTATGCATCACGGTTTCGATGCATCACGCGTCCTTTTTGGCCAGTTGGCCCGTCGCTTTGTTTATGTTTCACCAACCGGTTTTTCAAAACGATAGAGCCTGGAAACGAAGACGTCACGCAACGCTATTCTACGGTATCATTAGAATCGCGTCAACTCGATTCCAGGCTCTCTCTCCTTTTCCTCAACGACAAGGGAGGAAAAGGAGAGAGAGCCTGGAATCGAGGTTGGAATCGCGTGACAACCCAAATATACCAAATGTGCAGTTTCCAGTGAAGAAAAACCCGCTAAACATACTTCCTGTTCGTTTGTACAAATCGCTAAATATTTCATCACTGCACTGCTCAGAAGCAGATCTTGGTAAGCCATCCGTTCCTGAGATCGATAATTTCCACACAACAACATCGTCTTCGGCAGCGGGTTGCAGGTGCGTGGGACACTGCAAATTGATCTTTGAAATCCTCAATGAGGTTTAAATTCACATTTTTGCAGTTTTAAACACGGATGAAGTCTCAATTTGTGTAAAAGATCGCGACAAAGACAGAACAACATACGAACTTTTCGCACAGTAATAGCCTTCGTACGCCATTTTTTTTTTTTTTTGGCTTGGTCACGTGACTCAATGTTTTGATCTTGACTCTAGCTCTGAGAACAATGGTTTCATTTAATACGTCACGCGTTACCCCTTTTTTCTGGGTGCTTATCGTACGGGTAAATACCTTTCTAATTTTCCCGCGTACTTGATTTCGCGAAATCGACAGACCGTATTTCGCGACGCTATTTTCGCGATTTCAGTGAAAATAAGGGCTCAAATGCCTGAAATTTTGCAAAAATATCGTCCTCGGTTACTTTCGCGTTTTTTTGCTACATCGCGAAAACCGCGAAAAATACAATAAAGTGTTTTAAACACTGGGTGAAGGTATTTGCCAAATACCGTGTTGATTTTGCGATATTTTTCACGATCTAGACTGCTTGCAGTCCGCCTTTTCTCTATAGGACCGTTGAGCGTTTATCCCTGATACCGCCATTTTGGGCTTTGTTTCGATCGCGCTCCGCCGCTCACTGAGCTCGCCGCGCTCCAGATTATTTCGAGAGAGAAACAGACTGCAAGCAGTCTATAATTCACGATCCGAAAAAAAAGTTCCTGTAAAAAATAATTCCCCGCAAAAAAAAATTCCGCAGTCAATCAAACCTTGAGTCAATAAATGTGGTTGTAACTTTCAGCGGATAAAACCCTAGGTGTGTGACCATTCAAATGAAAGCTACTGAGCAGTACTTTCAAGTGATGCTAGCCTGCGTAGCTGCGGTATTGTTCGCACAAGGTAAAGTTTTGTCAGCGGAGCGGGCCAAAATGAGCGGCGAAGCCGCGAGAGAAAGGTCTTTCAGAACCTCCCCACCCCAGGCTCTCGCGGCTGCGCCGTTCGCTTTCGCGCTTCGTCGCTTACGAAATTTTTACTTCGCGCGCCAACAAAGACCGCCAGCTACGCAGGCTAAGTGATGCTGTTTGTTTTTTCACAAAGTTTTGTCTTCAGTACATTTTAGTACTCTCTGGGAGTGAAAGGATTAATCCACAGATGATATCAAAACGTAGTATTAAGAACAAAGTACATAAGAGATTAGCGGAAGTCAAGTGGCGTTTATAATTCTTCTTTTGTGCATTTATAAGTCAGACGCACGGCTTTCTTTCAGAAGCTTTTAATTTTTTCTGAATGATCCTGAATTTTCACTTGAACGTCCCGAGTGGAATATAAGGGGTGGACCATTTAATTTCTGAGGGGGGGGGGGGGGGGGTTGGGTTATTTTGACCAAAAATATCCTGCAAGCAACACTTGTACAAAAAACAAAATTCGTGCACACGACCACTGCCGAAAAAAATTTCCTGCAAGGCACTACCTGATGGGCTGACACATGCAACTTCATAAAAATATCATGCACACACATGCCCCTTGAAAAAAATTTCTTGCGCATGAAAGGGTTTGAAAAAAAAATCGCGCCGATACCAAATCACCCAACCCCCCCCCCCCCTCAGAAATTAAATGGTCCACCCTAAGTGCTTTTTCTAAAAATTTCGTTCTTATAACGCGCGCTCTGATTGGTTGTGTAGTCGTTTTGCATGAGGCTATGTAAACACCGTTATGACGTATCATTGGCATTTTGTTGGCTTTATTTTATGAAGAAAAAATACGATTGCCTCCTGTTTACATTGATTGGTGTATATACTAACTCCGTCGCTACATGCGTGGTTTTCCACAGAGTTAAAGGGTCCCTCTCAACCAGTGTGCTTTGCGCGCCAATTTTCTTACGGCGGCCATTTTCGGGTGCCGCGGAAAATGGCGGTTGAAGTTAAAAACTACTTTTTTCAGGATTCTGGCCTTGTTCTGGCCACAAAAAGCAGTTAGACGACCCAAGTTAGTACAATTTCGAAAGCATGACATACATAAGCCCCACGAGAGATCGAGTTCCACAGATGAAAACAATAACAAGCGACCGCAAGGACACTGGTTGAGAGGGACCCTTTAATACTTAACACTAGTAAATTGAGTTGTCGAGATACTTTACCAGTCAAGGAGATAACTTGAGGAAATATGTTAATCCGGGAAAGCTACTCGGGAAAAAAAAATTCCGAGTTCTCCCAACAGGAATCAAACCTATGATCTTCCCATACACTGGTTGGACACTCTACCACTGAGCTACAGGAGACTTGTGGGAGCTTAGGCGCATATAGGCCATATAACTACCATAATGATTCGATTTAGCGCCCTCCTTCCAATAAGCGCCCCCAGAGGGTGCGGGCATAAAGTAAAATCAAAGCAAGGAGAGGGGGGGCTCTAGGTAAAATAAGTCACTCAAGAGAGGGGGGGCTTAACATTTTATTTCAAGTACATATTACATTGGCGAATCCATACCTATTTATAAGGGTGGGGACCGAAAAAAATTTTCCGGCCCTTCGGGCCTAGCTATCCTTCACCGGACCTGAAAATAACACACATGTCTTTTCCTTCTGCTATGGTTCTGTTGAACATTGCTACGGAGGTGATGTTTGTTCCAGACGCGGATGTCCAACAATTAAACATGTAGTAGGAGCTCTTCTTTCTGTTATAAGATTTTAATCCACAGGTGCGTGTAGAGAAAATGTAGGGTACTTGTATAAAGGTGTGTGTATACTGTGAAGGGGGGGGGGGGGGGGGGGGGATCGTACATAATTTCTGACTGATTAGAGGGGGGGCAATAACTAAATTCCACTCTTTTAGGAGGGGGGGTATTACCTAATATTGGCTACATGAAGCCCATTTTCCAACCCCCCTCCTGATAATTATTGCACAGTCCCTAACCGCCCTCTTCCAACAAGTAGATAACGCGTTTGATTTTTTGGATTCAAGTAAAAACTATTAAACATAAAAGCGTTGTATTTTCTTAGTCCATGTCTTATCAAAGCATGTTTCACTATTGTGCCACGCTGTTAGATGACTTTTTAAGTGGAAGAACTGTTCATCAGACCACATCTCGCTGGTGGCCTGGACTCTAGTATCCCACCGTTGTGCCGCTGTCCTCTTGCTCAGCGGATGCATCCTCCCTCTTCAATGTAACCTGGCCTTGTATGCTGACCTTGGCAGTGTTTGGCTCACTTTCTTTGATTGTGAAGGTTTCTGTGTTTATTTCGTCGTAGACTGTGTTTGTATCTTTCAGATGAACACAACCAGAGTCAACGGAAACCGTCAGTTTGTATTCGTCGGACAGCTGAGCTATCTCTAGATTCCTAAAAACACAAAACAAACACACAGCCATGATCAATTCACATATTCTCTTTGCAATGTCATAAGGATTAAAGGAAGCTGGTTGTGAGAATTATCAGCTTCATCACCTGCATACAATGCAGTGGCAGATCCAGACCTGTTTATAAGGTGGGGGCCGTAAGTATTTTTGCCCATAAGGGGGGGGGGGGGGGGGGGCTCCCCTACATCCGCCACTGCAATGCATTCACTAAAAATACAATTTTTTCAAGGAAATTTACACACATAATTTAAATTAATAGAATCTGATTTTTTGCTGTATGAAACAGGCTGTCCAACTTTCAAAATCCACAATTAAGGCGCTGTTACACTAGGAAACAACATTGCTTATTGACTGAGTAATAGGGCCAATTAAGGAATATGCCTTGCTACAAAACAGCTAGGCCCACGAAAAATGCCTTCATCTAAACCTACATAAATTCATTACTTTGCAACACTTTTGCAGTACGATCGCCTTACCTTGCCTGCTGAGGTTTCCTCCGCCACTCAACAGGTAAAAATAGCGTGTTTATATTCAGGGTCAGGAGGTCCAAGTCCTCTCAACTGCGCGTCCCTTCCATTTACTTCGTCATTTGATACTCGAACCGGAAGTAGTAGCTTACTCTTACTTCCCGTCTGTATTGAGAGGCAGGACACGTGCGGGGAAGGCCAGACAAACGGCCAGTGGACTGAGGAGAGTGCTAAGCGTATTTTATGACCAGCGGCTACAGTGTAGGCGGTGGAATCCAGTTTAACCTGCGCATAAACAGGTTTCATGAGGCTGCAGGGGATGGACATCTTCTGGTGAATGGCCGCGGAGATGAGTCAAGTTTAGCACTCCTACAAAGAAAAAAATCATGTTTATTTTCTTTAGAAATCGGTTTGTATAAAACAGACCAGTTAGCTTTTTGTGAGGGAGAGGAAGTTCAACGGTTTAGGGAGGGAGAAACGGTGGAAAATAAATAAGGGAGGGAGAAACGATGTAAAGGGAGGAGGAAGAAATGGCAGGGGAAAATGGGAGGGAGAAACGACGTAAACGGAGGAGGGAAAACGCCAAAAAAAGTAGGGAGGGGGAGAAAAATAACACGCCGGGCTAGGAGGCGTGGAGAAGATAACGTTTTCAATTTTTTAATTTTTGGCAGGAAAATGACGTCTAGTAATAGAAAATGACGTTAGTAATATGGGATATTTGATTCCGGAATCTGTTAGAACGTAACATGACAATTCCAAAACTGAACAAATGTCTGAAATATGTTGAACCAATCAAAAGTTATGTGCAGTTTCAAAATTTAAATTTTCCAAAAATAATTTTTTGAAAATTAAATTTTGAAACCACATATTATATACTGTGTAATGAGGCGATCTATTACGGTGCAAAATTTGAGGCCAATTGATTAAAAGTGAAAAAGTTATCTTCTTGATAGCCATTTTTGGATGCCTACCAGTCCGGCGTGTAAGATGACCCAGAGATTCAATGGCCAGTGCAAAGTGTTTAATTTATAACTTTGAGACTTCTTATCAAAATTTGCAAGTTAGTCGACAGTCCAGAGTCCAGAGTCCAGTTATATTTTCCAGCTGGCCCCGGCCGGGAGCCCTGAGGACGAAAAAGATTTCATTGACTATTTCCCCGCTTTTCCGTCAAATCAAACCACCTGTCTTATTATTTTTGCACTCAGCGGCGTGGCAAATTCGCATCTGGTCACTCAGAATATCGACCAATTATTTCCCGGGTTATTTTCAGACGCAAGTCGTCAAATAAGCTGTGAACGGCTACAATGAAGTACAAAGAAACAGTTAGATAAGAATGCGTGAAGCTGAAACGTACATGTGCGTTACACGGGACAACGTCAAGAAAAATATTTCATTCCAAATTTAAAACATTCACCCTTTTAGTTCTGGTTTACCAAGAAATATTCAGTGTAACAGTTTTAAAATGTGTAGTAAATAGTGAATTTTACACCCTTGTATTGGAAAGCCTTCCTGTAAGTCTGCTTCAAATATTCATGTAAATTGTATTGATGACCTCTTGACCCTGACATACAAAACATTTATTATTCAGAAAGTGCCTGAATCTAACAACATTTAATATAACAATACACTAAAAAAAATTCAGATACTTCAATTATCTTGAAGAAAAAACAATTTCTTGACTTCACTGCCCACGTTAAAACCGGCCATCTGATGTTAAAAACGCACCACTGGTTTTAGTTTAATTAACCAAACTCAAAGTTTCATTCGCAACCAGCTTAGCAGATTCCGCAAATGAAACAGGTTTTACATGACAGAGCGTTATAAATATTATTTTAACAAACTCTTTGTGTAGAATTTAGCAATTTTATTCGTAAGCAATATCACTCACTTTCCGTGCATTGTGGCGTTCCGCTCATCTTATGTTCTTGGCTAGCGCTTTGGTGAAATATGAGCCGTGGGAACAGCTGAATTTTATTGGCTTAGCTTTAATATAATTACGTTTGTTGACTTAACAAAAGAACCAAACGCAAACAAATAAATCTTTGAATCGAGCGGTGAACGTAAACATCGAAATAACCAATGGAATTAAAACAATTGCTTTGAATCGGATAAAAATAATTCTGAATCGAGAAGACAACAATAATTATTTAGAACCCATATTCTTATTTACTCAGCGATAAAAACGCCAGCCAATTTTTGACTTCAGTGCCGGCGCTTCGGCTGTTCTTTGGCATTGCGAGTCGCGACTCAAAACAAGAGCACAGCTGAATGAAACGCGTGGAGAGCCAGAGAAATGTACGCAAACTTCAAATCTAAGAAAAATATGTTCCTTCATGAAAATTCCTTTATAATATTATCCAAACTTTTTTTAAACTTCTTTGGAAGCTTCAGCTTTCAATTAAATTGCGTGAAAAAATAATTTAATATATCTACGATGTACTTGTTGTTAGGAACGTACTACAGATCTTCGGCGCATGCGTAAATTTACATGTAACCTCCTTATTCTAGAAAGAAAGCTACCACAATGACAGGAAAGCGTTGTCCGAAACAAATATATATTGTGCTAAATACAAGTAGTAATAGCGCAGAAAGATCACTCACGTTTTGCGTGGTGTGCACGCGTGCCCCACGCAAGAGTTATTAATTCATATTAATTAATTAATTGATTATCAAAGTTTACGGCATAGCGAACTAGCTTCTTATCACCCGGCCCCACACATCCATACCTATAGTGCACTTTGCACTAAAAATAGGGAGACGGGATAAAACTGTCTCTCTCTGTCCCCTATCAGTTTTTCTCCTGCCATTTTGAAATGGGTGCAAACATGGCACAAAATACGGAATTATAAAATTATATTTCTGAAATATTCACACAAAAAATATTTGACTTTGGATCAATATCATTCAAATGCTGCATTTGAACCTTTTTCAAAATGGCAGAAAATAAACCACACACTGGTTTATTGTGACATTATTATGGTTAAAACAGCTGGGGTTACACCACATTTCTGGATTATCCTACAAAGCTGTCTGGGTCCCTTGATGTATAAAGTAACATACCTCTTGTTATAAGTGAAGACTCCCCACTTGGAAACACGTCACACAATCTAGCGGCTACCAGAGCACAGGGTCTGTCACAGCTCAACTGTAGGTGAACCTCGGGAAATCCCAGCACCTCAACAGGCTCTTTAAGTGTTGCTGTCTCCCAGCACTCCGACAAAGCGTCCTCTAATCTTTGTTCCACCGGCAGCTCCTCAAGACTAAACACAAGTGGGAGACCACCCCATGATCCACTGAGAAAAGAGGTCTTAACTGGTACTGTGGATTCAATTGGCTCGTTGCTAGGGGACTGTGATTGGTTCTCTGATGCTAGTACCAGACATCTATCTTTTTGTAACACAAATTCTTGATGCTGTACATTGAGTGAGGGCCAGCGGTCCTCTGCTATCCATCTCCCTG